TGTCTGTGAAACTGTGTGTGATGATGTGTGACCCTGTTTACCTTCTTAGAGAATGTTGTGAAGACAAAAGGGCTGGCGGTAGAGCAGTGGGTTACACACAGCAATGCATTTTGAATAATGTGGGGAAAATTGCTTGTTTAAGCCCAGGTATTATTAACACGAATAGAAGGGAATAAGTTAGCTAAAGTGTACTGTCAAAATAACGAACCAAAAGCTTTCTTAGGAAAAGCTGAAGGAGAATGTATCTGTCTTGTGTGTTTTCCTTCAAGAAAGTTAGTGGACACAACCATTTAATCTGCCAGAGGAGACAGGCCTGGAAAAGGTCAGCTGAATTCTGAAATTTAACTGCCGGGGGATAAGAAGAAATGACTGTCCTCCCATAGCAGTGAACGAGCATAGATTAGGTTCCCACGACGTGCTAACTTCCCTTTGCTGTTAGCAGCATTAATTGAAATCAGTCAAAGTTATATCTGAAAATGAATTTGATCATCTTAATGGTCAAACCGGCAGGGCAGCTGGATCCAGAAATTGCATCCCATCAGTGACTAGCTGGGAAATGGGGGTGGGGGGAGAACTCCTCTATATGATTGACAGACATACCCACCCACAGATATGAGAAAAGATGCACTTACTTGGTGTAACAATCACTTGAGTGCCGGGTCCAGAGCGCCGTACACCCCCAAAGCCTGACTGTCCACAACGGCTGATTCCACTGCAGAAACCCGCCCCCTCTTCAGAGCCACAAAGGTCGAGTCAAGGTGGAAGCTACAGTTTCCCAAGTAGGAGGGGACTCACACACATGTATCATGAAGGCCGTAGTGGTCCTCATTCTGGGGCGACCTTCCTCCAGAGGCCCCTCATCCTGGGCCCACCTCCACCTCTTGGGGGTGGAGCCCTGCCCTTAGGGAGGACTCTCTCAGGTACCTGAGCCTTTGGAGGATCACTCAAGGGGGCTAAGAAACTCCTCAGAAATACAACTGATGGCCCCAAAGGCAGGCGGCCTCTTTAGTGTGTGGTAGGGTTGCTGCTGGGTATGGGCATGGGAGTCAGGGGTCACAGGAGACAGAAAGGAGCTAGACAGAGGAGTGGGAGATAGAAGGAACAGCCCTAGAACAGAAGGGTCTGAAAACAGAAGTAAGAAGGGTGGACACATAGCAACAGCTGATGTGCTCTGCTCTGTGAGACCCCAGGAGCTCTGGGGAAAGACATGTTCCCGGCTCTGTCAGTCGCCCCGACCCATTTAGCACTGTTTTACCCCCTGTAACAACCTCTCACATGCAGCTGAGAAGGCCCACACTACAAACGGGGAGCCCCCTCCCTGTCTTATTTCTGTTTTGTAGGACCATCTGACCAAATGTTCTACACGAGGGGGCAGGGACAGCAGCCACAAAAAGATACTCCGACTCTGGTTTCTCTCTTTCTAATTAGGCTGTCAATCTGTTCAGCTAATAAGTCCTATGAAGTGTCTTAATCTCTTCCACGGAAAGGAGTCATATAAATGCAAAGTAGCAGCAGCCATAAGTCAGATGGCTTGCTGGGTCTCTTTTCTTTGTGTGCAGAGATGTTGTTGAATAGAGGGAAAACTTGCTGTGTGGAGAGAAGACAGGGGGGGGGGGGGGGGGGGGGGGGGGGCGGCGGGGGGGGAACACAACAGCATCTGTTTTTATTAGGCTGAGTCTCTACAGCACAAAGTAAAACAGATCTGGCAATTATTTAGGTAATGTGACAGTCAATTCAGGCCATTTTGAGTGCAAAAAAGGTTTCTCAAGGAAGTGCCTCAATATTTGGATCAGCTACTGACATTAACCAAATTAACTAGACAATTGTGCTATGTGTAGACACAAGCTAATAAATGTGCCTTGTGACGGTTCTTCTGACAGGGTCACATTTTATAAACTTAACATTAAAACTGATCCAATATTTATACCCACTCTCTTCATTTTGGCACCGCAATTGACTTTTCCCATTTTTTTCCTACAACAGGCCTTACCTTTAGAGCTGCAAAGGTAAGGGTGACCTTCTCCCTGGAGTGTCTTATCAGGTTAATACACAGAAGCTCATTGAGAAATTCAATCGGTGTCTGGGATGTGAGAGCTGGTCATTATAGATTAAGGGCTTTTTTCTCAAGTGGCAAAAGATTTACAGGGAGTGACAGTGAGTCTTGTTCTCATCCCAAAGACAAGCTGGTTTGCCCCAGAATCTGACACACTGTTTCTGCCCAGTACAAAACCACTTTACTCTGGGACATTTTCTTCCTCTTCTTCCTCCGTGAAGCTCACCCAGGGGATACCATACATGTTTTGACCCTTTTGACCTCTACTTGGTGATAGCCTTTTACCAACCATCCTATGGAAAAGTGCTGTTTTCACATTTCTTAACAAAAAAAAATCCCAGTCACCAACAGTCTCCCGTCTTTCCTCCCCATTTTTTTTCAAACAAAACCTTGTCATTTCTGTGTTATCCCTTCTCCCCTTGAAAGACAGTTCATAGAGAATTCTAGCCTCTACCAGGGTGGTTCTCACTGTAGTATGCCATTATGTAAAATGACCATTTTTTTTTTTTTTGGTGCATCTCTCACACTAGATGTTTTTATGTCTCCCATAAAATTATATTCTCTCAGTCTTAGCCTAGAAATTCCAGACCTAACTCACCTCAAATCCTGCCCCCTTTTTTTTGCCACTAGCTGAAACCAAATGGGTTAGAAAAGAACGTAGCCAGGCTTTACCCACTTTCTCCTTACTACTGTAAAAGAAAAATAAAACCTAAAAATAAGGGTCTTTGGTTAGAAGTTGAAAAGGCAGAGATGATTAACCAAAGAATGAATTTAGTGGGTAACTCTGGCTCATTCGAGAACATTCAGACCTACCTGGTTTTACTTGTAACATCGTCCCCTGCCCAAAGATGAGTCTTCCTGTGTTGCTAGAGCCACACTGTAATACTCTACTTTACAAAAACTTTAAAAGGAGATAGTTTTTTTCCTTCCTTCCCTCCAGCAACCTGAGCTAGTAATAATAACTAATATTTATTGAAGACTTACTAGGTACCACCACTATGCAAGGTCCTTGATAGGTATTAACTCTTTTAATCTCATAACAATGCAGTGAGCTAGGTACTGTTATTATTCCCATTTAACAGATGAGAAAAATGAGGCATGAAGAGATTAGGCAACCTGCCCGAGGTCACACATCTGGTAAGTAGCAGAGTTAGGGTTTGCCCAGGCAGTTTGATTCCAAAATTCACCTATAGTGGCTATACCTTTCATTAGTCTTAAAAACATTCTGGGTTCCCCTTTGAAGTGTGCATCCCAGTAACACTGACAAAATAGTTAGCTCATCCATCCTAATAAATGTGCCTTGAGCCAGTTCTTCCGGAAGGCTTACATTGCATAAATTTAACATTAAAACTGGTTCAATATTTATACCCAGTCTCTTCATTTTGGCACTGCAGTTGACATTTCCCATTTTTTCTTGCAACACACAGCTTCCATTTAGAGCTGCAAAGGTAAGCGTGACCTTCTCCCTGGAGAGTCTTTATCGGGTTAACACACAGAAGCTCATTTAGAAATTCATTAACACCTATATCAAAGATGTCTTTCCCAAAGCCCCTGGACTCCATTGTATAACACCCCTTCCTCTCCCCGCAGCTCCAGCCTGGAGCTCCAGAACTTCCCTGGGAGCTAGCCCCTGCCAAAGCCACAGCAAACACTGCTAGGAACAAGTCTGGTTGTACAAAGCACAATTCTGAACAGGGTAGGTGGTCCCTAAGATGCTCCTGAAGAGTCTTGGAGAGAAGAACTTTTCAGGAGAGGCCAGAATTAGGATGAAACCAACTCCTTCCCTGTTACTTCTAGCAAATCCACCATAAGGCTATAGGCCAAAGAGAACTGAGAGATGCAGAAATTATATGGTAAGTTTGAGTCATTCTGGATAACCCACGGTGAGGAGATGTCCTCCAGGGAGGTCACTGGGAGGGCCCTAAGTCCCAGGAGTTTCCAGCAGCACTTGAGTTATCTTTGGCTGGGAGGAAACAGGATTCACCAATGGCCCATAGTGAGGTCAGTACAGTATGGACTAAGGAGGTCTAACTTTCAGTGCTCTCTGATGGCTCTTTTTGGAAAGGGTCACCTGTTTGCTCTGTAAGAAAACAGTCTAACAGTGCAACTGCCTTCCTACCAGGCACATCTGGACCCCTCTCTTGAGTTATTTTGGTTGAGAGGTGGGCAAGGGCTCAGCTTGGGTGGACAGGAGAAAACACTATTCATTACTGCACATTTAAAACATGAGGGCTAAAGAAGGAGACAGTTTCTGAGATACTTCCAGCTGCATAGACAGGTTTGAGAGAGTTAATTTGAAGACTTACTTGGATTTACTGCCACACTTGTCCCCAATCCCCAAATCAGCTTACGGTTGTTGCCAACATTACACAGTCATAGAAAGCTTTACAGAAACCGACCAGGCCAATGTGTACCAGGAAATCCCTTTCAATCCCCAAATCCAGCCAGCGTGCTTCTCCAGCTGGGACCCTGGCCAAAGAATCAGCGGGGAAGACTGTTTATTATCGTGGTCAATTCACAGCATGGTTAGGACACCAAGGCTTTTCTGAGGTTAAATAGTTCAGCCCCCAACCTCGAGACCGAGCTGTCCCCTCACCAGGCCAGCAGGGCATGGCAAAATCCTGACAAAGTCGCTGGAGAAGGTTCTCTCACTCCAGTGCTCAGCCATCCCTGTGTCCAACACAGACTTTCAGACCCAAATGGTTAAGACAAAAAGGACAAGGGATCTGTTATTCTCCAGATTATTTGTTCCTGTGCCAGATGATTACACATGTGCCCGTTTTCACATATACATATGGCATATATATACACTGTATAATCATTAAGATTAATGATTAGAATTAACTTAAAAAAATCGGGTGGAAAAATCAGCCCCCAGATGAAGTTCAGTGCTATGGCGTCCTTTAGAAATCAGAGCAATCATTACGGATTCAGCAGAGGTACTCACGGGGTTTGACCAGTAACCTTGTTCCCCCTCCAAATTGTGAGCGTGTTGCCTGCATTATTATTCACACGGCGATCTTCAGCTCAGCAAAAACCTCCTAGAAACCGAACTAAGTTTTCCCTAAAGATCTTCTGGAAGAAGCGATACCATGAGCACAGAGAATATTAAGTAATAACCTGGCACAGAATCTTAGCTCCAGCCTGGATTTCAGGACTGTTTCCACATTGGATGAATGGAGGATATTCTTTCTAAATATTCTAAAGAAGGAGTTTTCCCGCATAAGCCCAGCATACTGACTGCCAAAAATCCTAGCTATCCTCCGGTGTTTTACACAATAATTCTCCAGGGGTTGTGAAGATCATGTACCTCATTTGGACAAAGTAGGAACCGTTTTTGTCCACGACACCAAAGCCAAAGGAGTCAGAGATATTGTCATTGCAATGGGAGAGACTGAGGGCAGCTGCAACTGCCTACCCGGCAAGAGGGGTCAGCCTGCTGGTCCACCCTTTCAGGGCGCTGGAGCCAGACACCTCTGACCTAGGTCCAGGTTGTGGAGCATCTAAGGGGATTTCCACTTTTTCTCATCGCACAGAACCAGAGACAGTCACAGGCGCTGGTCAGCCCTGGAGTTCACCCTTGACTCCAGCTCCAGACCTTTTCATCCCCAACTTAGACAGTCATCAGGAAAAGGACTTTCACTACTTTCTGTCTGTGTCCCAGTGGGGACTTTTCCATTCTCACTGTCCTTTTCCCGGGAGATAGCACAACTCAAGGACTAATCTGAAATCATTCTCTTACAGGTAGCTTCTCCCATCCTGTCAAGGTGATGCTTTTGAGCCTCTCTTAATTTTTTTGGCTTAAAACAATAAGCATTTATTAGACCATGAGCCTGCAGTTCAGTGATTTAAGCTGGGCTTAGCTGGGCAGTTCTCTTCATTTTGGCTGGACTTATTCTCGGGTCTGGGAATCAACCAGCTATAAACTGATGTAGGCTGGCTATGGGAAAACTGGTGCAACTGACTCTGCTCCATGTGCCCTTAAATGTCTGGGTTGAGCATTTTCTCTTAGTGAGGACAGAGACGCAAGGGCACAGTTGAAAGCTTGCAAGTACTTCTAAAGCCTCTGTGAACCTCTCTTAATTTGGAGGTAGCCTGAGGAAAATCTGAGAAGGAAACTCCATAGGCACCACTGCTGAGTGTACAGCACGGTCTCCTCCCTCTTCCCCACCCTCTGGCCATCTGGGGGACCAGGGGCTTAACAACCAATAATTCGGAACGGACCACTTCAGAAGGAAAACAAGAAATGTACAGGGAATTTGGCAGCCCATAAATTTCCTACTTGGATTCAGTCAGTGTTGTTCTCCTCCAAGAATGTCTTTCCTCCTTCCCACACCCATTACAGAAGCATCTCCTTCCTTCCTACTTTGCTGTTTGCCTGGTGGATCTCTTACCCAAGCCTCCTTCATTTTTAAGAAGAGATATAGTTTCTTAAGTTGTCCCTATGAAATTAAGTCTGGTGACACTTGTGCTGGCTAAGAAACACTTTGTTTCATGTATGCCAGTCTATTTTCAGTGGTGGGTCTATGGTATCTGATTTATGGACACCAGGTACAGGTGTGGGCACGTGTAAGCATTCAGGGGAAGTTGGCGTCCAGTTTGCCTGGAGCAAGGCATTTGAGAAAGGGAAGAGCTGGAAACAGATTTGGAGAACAGAAAGGGCCCAGGTTTTAGAGAGCCTTAAGTGACAGGCTAAGAAGTGGATAGGATGCTTTCTCAAAACATGAATGCCCAGGTGAAGCGTTGAATTGGATGAGGGAGAAAGGCGTAAAGAGGGGTAGGAAAAAGCGAGTGAAAAATGTGGAATGAGGGTACAGTTTTAAAAGAATTCCCGTGTTTAGAGGAGTCTCTCAAAGTCTTCAGCTAATAAAAATTTTCTAATAATTAATATAATTCTTATGAAATTGGTGGTAAGTTCATTCCAGCGAGCCTCCAAGCTCTCCTTTGTCCTGCCTGTCCAGAGTAGATGGACCCAGAATGGCCACTTCAGACAGCCGTAATTTTTGCTTCCATAGCTAGTATTTCCCTTGTTTTACCTTCCTTTGTGTCTCAGACACCAAAAACATTTAAAATGTCTGTCTTGCCTGTAATACTCACTTGCTAAAACCTGCAGGCTAGTGCCTGCTCCAAAGACGTATTTGTAGTTTTCTGAGTCACAGTGCTACGTGGCTCTACGTAAACCAACACAGGGTTACCATTTGTTGGTGTAGTTTTGTTGTCAATTAGCAGGATATCGTATGCACTTTCTCCATGCGAAGGTTTGGACCTCGTGTTTTTCTGAAAGGGATTTACTTGGGATAATGTCTTAGTTCATACAGAAAGTCTTTTTGCTTTGATTAGGTCTGGGCTTGCAAAACCTCCTCAATCTCATGCTATGTTTATCTTAAGTGTGTTTATTAAGTAAAGAGGTTGTTTTAACAAACATGTCAGGATTTAAACATCTAAATGATGGTTGAACCCTTCAAAGTACTCCCTTTAGGACTCTCTCTGAGAGTCAGTTTATGGGCCACACATATACAATAAGGACATTATTTTATAGTCACGCCTCATTTTTGGAACCAAATTAGTACCAGTAATTAATTTGGGTCCCTCCTTTATTTATAACTCATGGCTCTGAAAGCCTTTTGATTCTTAATAAAAATGAAATCCACCTTCAGAAGATAAAGCCATCATGACTGCTACAAAAAGAATGTTCTGGGCCCTTTGAGGGTAGATTCAAAAGAGGAGGTTAGCAATGGACCGGGGTGGGGGGTGTGGGGGGTGGCGGTGAGGGGACTAAAGCGTGTGTTACTTCAGGCTGAATGGTTTGACTGAGCCACTCATTTAAATGTATAAACTCTATTTGTTAACAAATCAGCCCCATTACCTACTGTCACACCCGGTTCAGGCACAGAGGGTGGTGGGGAAAATACGACTGAAATGTCAGATGGCAGGCATTACTGCAAATAGTGTGCCTGCATGGAAAGCACCCCATTTTCTATCATTCTAACAGAAAAAACCCAAACCAAAACCCCCAAACACTGAACTCTGCAAGAGTGGAGATAGCTTGTAAATTTTCAGTATTTCTTTCTGTAATCCATCTCTCTTCCCCTCTCCCTGATAGCTTCACAACTCAGATAAACATTCTGCTTTGTCACAGGAAATCCAGTGGCAGTGGGGAGGCTTCCAAGGTATGGGGATTCTCTGTCCCTCCCACAGGGTTGACTCGGCCAGCCTGGGTGAAGGGGAGAAGTCCATGTAGGGAACTACTTTGTCCTTGGGGTGAAGAGGGGGCTTCCACGGATATGACCCATAGAGGGCTGTCCTCTCTCCAGAGAAAGTTTGATTGTTCAGCTATTCTCCCAGCAGAGGAAAGCCACGAGGAGCTTGTGGCTCTTGCTGCCCACCCCTCACCCAAGCCCTCAGTCCACCTGCTAGATTTTCCAGTTCTACCAGGTGACATGGCATAGGCGCAACTGGGTTCTTAGCACTTATCTGTTAAGGACATGCTTCCGTGGCTGCGTGCTGCTGCATTGGTAGCCTCCCCTTTCATTGGTTTGTTTCTCTATCACCAAGCTTTTCTGCCTCTTTCCCAAAGCCTCAACGTGCTTTGTGGACCTTCAAGAAACACTGACTACAGTATTAATACAATTTATCAAACTGCCCATGGAACTGATAACCAAATCCAGCCACCAGGGAAACATGTATTCATATCTTGCTCACACATCTGACATAGTTAACAACTGCATGCTAAACGAAGCAATTAAATTCAGCCGTGTTTCAACACGTCCCTTTGGGTTTCTCTCCAGAAAGGATAATGAGTTAACCACAAGAACTCACTGAGTATGACCAGCAGCGAGGTGAGTTTGCCAAAGGTGAATGCATACCCAGCGTTCCACAGTGCATTTTCCCTAAACAAAACACCCCTCTCAGTAGCCACTCTGACTCTCTTCCTCATGGGATCCTCCATTAAATCTAATGTCTAAACACCTATCACCCAGCAGTCACACAGACCGTGGGTCACCCAGGGTCCTCTTCCATGAGACCATTGCTGAGAAGGTCACCCACTCAGCACAGTGAGGTGGGTGATCACTCCTGAGAAGTGCCGTCCTGGGGAGGGGGCCCTGTTACATGTTATGAAGCCCAGAGTTTTCCTATGTCCAGCAGAGGCCAGTCCTCATCTGGCTGAGGACAGCCAAGGGCCTAGATCGGGGCAACTCTGTAGGCTCGTGGGTGAAGGGTGGGTAGACTCCACAGAGAAATTAGGTTGGTAAATTTCTTCTCATTCACTCTGCGTTGTGCTTTAGCTGCACTCACTGATTAATCTCTGAAACCCGCCAGTACTTACTTGGTTTAACAGGGAGTGTAGTGCCTTTTCCAAAGGTGAGCTTTCCTTGGCTGCCTCCATAATTCACAGTCATATGGGGCCTCACAGTAATCAGTGGGTGGGAAGGATTGAGGCGGAGAAAGAACAAGTGAGACCACTTTCTCCTCTAGCGGAAGTCTCACCACTTTGCAGTCTCAGCTCCCAGCTCCTTGGCAGGGAAAGGACATTTCTCTAAAAATAGCAGCTGGCTGTGCAGATAGATCTGAGCTTGATCTTAAACCACCAGTTTTGCTCCCAGAATACTGGGTTCTGATGGCCGACTCATGCCTGAGACACATGGGAAAATTGCAAGGTCAGGCAGAGACATGCCATCTAGCACAGGTGGTCAACAGGGGGTCAGAGAGTGGCTATTCTGGGGACTAGGGCCCGCGCCACTTTTATAGTTCTTACCAAGAATAACAACAATAAAACCCAATAAAACCCCCAACAAAGGAGCTGATTGTGCTCCTCTTGGAGAGGAGGGGGTCTTCTTGAGGAAAACCTGATTTCTGAGTTATTAGATCTTTTTACTTGGTCTTATCACAGAATATGGGCTTTGCATATTACCATTAGCGTTTTTATATATCCGGAGCCAATGAGGGTTGACAGTGAAAATTTCTACTTCTTCATGACCTAATTCTTAGGATTGCCAGAATTCATCAACGAACACACTTCCAACCGGCTCAGGTACAAAGAAACTAAGTGCATCT